TCGACTTCCTTGATCAGCTCGTCTTTGTTCGATTCGTAGCTGTTTACAGAATACCTGCGAGGAATCTTTGAAGAAGCGGTAGCTACAGAGATTGTGCAACTGGACAACAAAGCATATGAACACGTTTTAAATACGAACACAAGCTTACGAGTCAAAAAGGCCTCTAAAATTTTTAGGCTACTAACAATCAATGTGATCTTGCTCGTGGAGTAATCTTAATTTAACTACTTCCAAACTAAATCGTACAAAGTTGTACAATCTGACCAGTTGATACAAGGCTTCAAGTCCCAGCACTTTAGAAGGAAATCACCAAGAGCCTCCCCCAACCCCCACCCTGAAGGGATACCCTGCAATGAACCTTGCAGGGAAGCTCTACCTCGAGATCCAAACCCCTAAATGTCACTTTCATATACCTTCCACAAAAAAAGATAGCCACACAGCTATTAATGGTATTTCATCTGTGGTGCGGATAACACAATGGCTTACTTGACCCAATGCCTTCATCCTGGGGTGAGGGGTGGGGAGAATCAATGGGCCAGGTGAATAGCACAATGTCAGTACTAAAATAAAGTGAAATTAAACTTAAAAGCTCATATATCAATTGAATAGTCTCCTTCGCAGCTGCTCACGCTGTAGTCACGCGACTCTCCCAGTCCCCATCCCTGTCTGTGCATACAGAGACAGGGAGCATTGCGTGACTCTGGCTTGAGCTCAGTCAATCAATCAATCATTTTGTATTTCTTAATTTACACTTAACAGTGGGACTGGCCTGTGGATAAATAGTGCTAGTGTAGGCAGGCCAGTCTGTCAAGATATAGTTACAAATGTTTTTTATTAATAAATAGAAAAATAGAAAGTTAGGAAAAAGTGAAGAAAATAAAAAGGTTGGAAAAAATGAGAAAAGAAGTGAGGGGTCATCAGATTTAATTAGATAATTTATTTTTTTTATTTTTGAGCTCCTGTTAGAGCTGCCTTCAATTTACTCTCAATAGGTGTGAATACTGCAAGAGTTTCATGCCAACATGGAGTCTACTGGCAGACCACTACAGCAAAATTCCTCACAGCGAACACGTAACTATAGCTAAGGTACAGCAGGCTTAAAATAAATATTATTGAAGGCTGCAGGCTGTGCAAAATACTGATATTGATACTTAAAAGTCGTCAGAGAGTTCTAAGACAACTTATCTAGAATAATGTAGATATGCAATGCGTGCAGAGTGATTTGTACAATGTAGAGCTCCTACTCTCATTACTTAATGATGTTTAATGATTTAGTATTAAATTAAGT